GCCCCTGCCGCTTCTGTACCTGCTGCCCAGAGCAAGCTGGATGCCTGGGAAACCAAACAGGTTCCCATGCAGGCGGCTGTAACAGGGAGTGGCATGAGTGCCACGAGAGTGGCAGCGAGGCACAATAGGGTATGTTGGCGGGTATGCATATGTGTGGGTGCCTCACTCCCATGGAAAGGCTGAGTGGAAAGGCTGGGTGAGGCACAATTCATTGGTGGGTGCCGCAGAGGTTCCATATTAAAGCCAACCCTTTTTAGCTTGCACATCAACAGCCTTCCTGAAACTCCGTCTTCTAAGTTCATCAACTCTCATCTACTTGGGCACTCAATCTGAGACCCCTTCTGACCTTGAAAATACCTTGGATTCTCATGTTGCAGTTATATGCATCTACTCCTGTACTTGGCACTTACATTTGAGCACTTTAAAATCAAGTCTGTGTGTTGTCTACTTCCATGATGCCTCTGTGGCTCCAGAATTAAAGACTTCCTCACTGGATGCCCACTGAAACACCATCCACATCTCACCTTTGTCAGCATTACTCTTAGTAAGTCTGTGACTTCCTGAGGCTAATTAAATTAGCTATGAAAATAATGACCCATAGCAATCTACTTTGTAAGCTTGTTGGTCTACATGGAGATCTACTGGCTTTTAGACAGCTGTCCTCACTCTCTCTTGCTAGGAAAATATCATGCTCCAATCTGTACATGATTGTTCAGTGTTAGCTTGGTTGATGTGCAGCTACATACAGCCATGAGTGTTGTGTAAGGGATTCTAGGGTCCAGACCTCTACTCCAGATGTCAAATCTGAGTAATATCTCCCTGCAGCACATTTATGTGAAGACCTGCAGCCAAAATGATAGGAGGGGTTAAAAACTCATCTGACCTACTGCTGTCCCTGGATCTCCTTAAGCTTCCTTCAGCTTTCCTCAGGTGGCTAACTTTGCCATGCTGTGACTTGTCAATGCCATCTTGCTAGCACAGAAGTAAGTCGTGTCAGCAGGACTAAGTACTTTTTTTTAAAAAAAACCCTGCCATTCAGCAGATTGGTTTTGATTTGCTGCATCACCTTTGTTCCTCCTGAATTCATTCTGCTCTGGTCAAGGCTAATAAGCTGACAGGTGACACTGGTAGAGAAGCCAAACTGTAGATGTGGCCAGGTGCAGACTGATTCTTATGACAGTCAGTCTCTTAACCCAGCGGTTGGCAACATGTTTTAGCAGCAGGCTGGAATGACCTAGCACAGATCCAGGGTGGGCTGGCAGTAGAACCTGGCTGCTGCTGTTTCTCCTTGCTGTGGGCTGGGCAAAGCATCCCACCACCCAACTGTGGTGTGGCGGGTGAAGTCCTCTGTTGCCAGAATGCTGCTGAAACCTGCCACCGTTGAAATGTCACTGAACCCCTCACTCTGTGGGCCAGATTTAATGGCTCTGTTGGCCCGATCCAGCTTGCAGGCTGTAGGTTGCTGACCCCTGTCCTTATTACATGGTGTAGGTATGAACACACTGAATTTTGTCACCCAGAATGCTGTGGTTCAGCTTAGTTAGGTGTGCATAACCTAATAATAATAATTCCAGATGAGCATAACGAAGGAGAAGGGAGTACTTTTTCAAATCAAAACAAGACATTCAGATTCAGGTCCCCATTTGGACTGAGCCCTTTGGGATGAAGTTTTGCATAAAAGGGGTTTGTCTGTGATCCATCTCTTAATGATTGCATGCATGTAATAAAGGCAGATAAACCTACAGTTTTCTAGATTAGAGTGGATATGCTAGGATTTGGAGTGTGATACAAATGCATAACTTGAATGAAATATTTTAACTCCTCTCTTCCCACAACACAGAATACATCACTCCTCAGGTCAGTGCTGCCATTGGTTTCATAAGCATGTGATGAAATGCATGGCCACTGGTGTATATATCAAGTTAAAGGGTAAAGGAAATGCAAGGATCGTAATAATAATTGCAAATATAGAACATAATTTGCATTTACTGTCATCATTTGCATTACTGTCACTGAGCCCTGTGCAGGAAGTTGTAATAGACTCTGTTCTAGTTCTTATCTGTAGTGCTATACATGACACATTTATATTTTTCTTTTGACAAATGGCCTTTGTTTTAGTTATCTTCCAAGTCAGTCTTTCTCAGTTTATAGTGTTCAGCCCATGAATGGATGGCTAGGGGGAACACACCAGGTTTTGAGAAATGGCAACTCTGTCAAACATTTCCTGACTCAAAAATCTTTTGAAAAAGAAACAAGAGTCACATAGGTACTCAGTAATGATTTTTTGTACTTTGCCCTGAGAATACTGGTAGAAGAATATAATTCCTTTTGGACCAGAATTATAGTTGTGAGGAAATGTGTATTGCCTATTATTTATGAATGAATATTTATTATGTGGATATGCAAAATCTGTGATATCTGCCTGTCTTCCTTCCCCTTATTTTTAAAGCGCTGAGGCTTGTGAATGATGTGACATTAATACCATCACTCAACAGCCCTCATTGATTTTGAATGTGTGTATGTACACAAAACCTTAGCTGGTGTAAATTTCAGAGCTTTAGTATCACCTGTGATGTATTGCAGTTAAGATTTAAAGTACCTAACTCTCCCTTAGCATTTAAATTGGAATTTTCAAGGAGACCTAAAAGAATTAGGCCCCAAACACCCACTGAAATTCAATTTGATTTGAGCATCTAATTCCAGTAGGTGGTACCTTTTGAAAATTCCAGCCTTAATAATACATAAATCATTATATTTCCAAAACACCAGTAGAGTTGAGTTAAATGGAAATAGGAAGAATAAATGCTAGCTTTACTACCACTGTTCATCAGCAGCAGATATCTGTAATCACAGTTCCAGCCTAAGATATGTACCTATTGGAAAAGGACTGCTGACACACTAAACTTAGGGGCCATTCTGCAGTCACTGAAATTAATGGCAAAACTAAGTGCAACTTTAGTGGGAGCTGGATCAGACCTCTTGTGAAGTTTACAGCCCTATTTAATAATAGTTGAAAAAGATAGAGGGGTTCTCAGATAGGTTAGTATTGGCTAAGAGAATTGAGTTAAACAACTTTTTGCTGTTGGGTTTCTGTTACTTTGCAGAACTGAAAATAATGGCTAACTAATGGCTAATAGCAGTGGTCTTTCAGATTGAAAGCAGATGCTTGCTCACTTACTGATACCCAGCGATTGGCATATATTCACCGTGGGAGGGTGACTAAGATACGGAAACTCCTAAAGTGAAGGCAAAAATGAGTCACAGGAAAGCAGCCTATTTTACTCAATTCCAGAAATGTTGCCAACCATCCATAATTAATTTAGATGCAATTTACGGTTTGCAGTGGTTTTTTCTGTTTCTGAAAAAGGAGCTTGGGGTTAAGGTTGCTGTCAGCTTCAGTAATTTATTGTGCCTGCGATATGGACAAGTTTTAGCTTACCCAGAAATTGGGGTCTGTTTGAACACAAACCAACACCATTTTGCAATATCGAGCTCTGGCATTATTAATGCAATGCAAATATTGTTATGAATAATGTCTGAATGGCTAACTGTCTACATGCAATTTTAATTACCCTGTAGTATGAATTCCAGAGACATTTCCAATATTTTAGCCCCTGGAGCAGTTGAATACTCTTCATTGTATGGTGTAAACAGAACCACATTAAAGTATTTGTGATTGTGAGCTTTAATCCTATGGAGATCACACAGTTATTTTAAGCATCAAGGGCAGTTCTTTGTATTAGGCAGTACTTGCTAACTTCCCTTTCCATCCCAATAGGTCTCAATTTCTTTTTAACCTTTAAAAAAATGAAAACCTAATGAAAATCTTTGTAGGGTCCAGTTTGATGCTGAAGTGTGAATACGGTTGGGGTGAGGGGTTGTGTTTTTTTCTTTTAATATTGGCCAAAATAGGTCTTTTGCAGTTGATGGCCATGTCCACACAAGCGTGGACATTTGTTTCCCCAGGGAAAAGGAGTGTCACACCTTGTGCCACCGCTGCTAATCCCTGGGGAATGCCTGTGCCATGCACCCTTTGGGGCACGGCAGGTTACCCTGAGTGGGGTAGGGCAGGCTGGGGTCCAGCAGCCTTACCTAGGACCCTGGGGACCTCCTGGTGCTGTAGCAGCAGCAGTCCTGCTGCTTGGAGCTTGGCTGGCAGCCGAGTGTGGCTCTGATCAGCCAGGCTCTGGTTTTGAGCGGTGTGTGTTGCCCCCACATGCGCTACTCTGCTTTTTTTTGCAGGGCTTTTTTTAACCCCAGGATCTCCCAGAGTCACCCCCCACCCACTGTTATAGCACAGAGAACAGCTGAATGTGTGGTATGTGGTGCCACATGGCCACGTTTGTTGGACTTGGCTAATGTGTCTTAAATAATTCTTTTCAATATTTTTAAGGGTGGAAAAGGTGTTGGGGTGCTATTAAAAATCAGGTCTTACTTCCCAGTTCTGTGCTCTTTCAGCACATAGAAATGAATTTATTTATATATATATTAAACGTTGGCCAACAGAGGCCCTGGACTTCAGATGTAGATGCTGTGTGTTCCTTCAAGCCAGCTCAAAAGAGCATTTGGTGCACATGGCCCTACTCAATTCATTTAGAAAGATCCTGTCGGCAGTCCCTTGATTTGAGGATGGTTTCTACCACAGCTCATTGACAGGTCTTGAGGTGACTTAAGAATCCAATCCTTGAGCTGCAGCTTGGTCTGTAGATATTACAGGTCTTTTCTCAGGGGAGAGTACGCCATAGGCTGCTATTTATCTCCTTCCTCATGTCTCTAAAAGACAGTTGTGAACAAGAATCCCAGGTCCACGTTTTTTCAAGCTTCAGGAAAGTTTAGATCCAGAGACATGTGAACTTGGGAGTTTCAGGCACATTTCCAGATCCTAAAACATCCAGTCCCATGATGTTGTAGTTACCTGTGGTAGCTTTGGACTGAACTTGAGGGCCAAGAATGTCTCTTTCAATCCTTTGTATGAGTACTTACGGCTGCAAGTGAGCAAGATGATATGGGGAGAATATTAGAATCATGGGGCACCTATACACATGCAGCGAGGCTGCTCTGACATCCTGTAATTACAGTGCGTTGGAGTGTGGTAGCAATTAATAAAGTCTGCTGGAGTGTGGTAATTACCATGCTCCAGCAGACTCCAGCGTCATGTGTATCAGCATCTCTGCACTGAAAAATGGCAGCAGGGGCACTTTAAATAAAGCTCATTCTACAAAAGTGCCCCTGCTGACATTTTTCAGCACGGGGACACTGATGCACATGGTGTTCTGGGTGCTTTAATTAGAGTGGCTCTTGAAGCCACTTTAATTAAAGTGCTTCCCCTCACTCCTGGAGCATGTATATAAATGGCCATTGGGATGGGTGCATGCCAGCGTAAGTGTTTTTATAACCTTTAAAGCCCCTTCTTCTGTCCTTTGGTCCTTTTTGCCATGCCTACCCACATTTTATCTTGCTGTTCTCACTTGTTGAATCTTTTCTTATATTTGAGCTAGAAACTTTGTACAGTATGGAGGGGTGTCTCTTTTTTGTTTTGTAAAGTATATAGGCTCATTTTTGGGTGCTGTATAAGTTGTTCTGTTCAACAGCACCTACCACAGGAGAGTCCTGGTTCATGACTTTGGCTCCTAAAAGAATTACTGCCAACCAAGGGTGTCCAACATTTTTGAATGTGGGGCTGGATCATGAACTTTTTATCACCCAGTGGGCCAGCGAGCCATATTCAAAGACCTCACAGGAAGCAGTATCATATCACCCTCCCGAAACAAAAGTACAGTGTTTACTTTTGTTTCCTGTTGCAGCACCTCGGGCCTCAGAAAACAGTTTGGAGGGCCACATGTTGGACAAGCCTGGACTAGACCCATTGCCATACAACCTTTTATGTCCAATCAGAACTAACCAGCACAACTGGAATATTGAGAATCCCAATGAACTACCTGGGAACAAACTACATAGCAAGATTAACTTGCAGAATATATTTGGCAAATACTTTTGAATAACTATTTTGAGAGAATTGTCATTATTTTCACATAATTTGCAACCAGCAGAAGAGGCAAAATTTATCAACTGTTTTAGTATGAATCATTCATCCAGCTCTAGCCAAGATCCAGATATCATAACGCTTTATTGGTCAATGTATCAGTTCCTTAAATGGCACCTAGTAGTGAAGGATAGGTAGGATTTAATTAACTCCACAAATCACAGCCACCAGGGACTATGATTTTGTGGTTAGCTTGTAGTAGTTTTCCTGTGGTTCACTTACAGTGGAACTCTTATTTTAGGGAGCTGAGCAGAAGCTGGTATCTAACTGGGACCATTTTACCAGACAGGGTACCAAGTTCACAGTCTGAAGGTTACAGGTAGGTTAATAGCTACATCCTCTCCTATGACTGCCCGTAAAAGACACCTGGGTCTGAGAAATCCCTGCTAACATGTTAGTGATTAGGACACTAACTTAGTACCTGTGTTTAATTCCCTACTCTGTAGTGGATTTCCTATGACTATGCAATTACAGAGCCTCCTTGAACTTCAATTCCTCCTCTGTAAGACAATGGAAAGTTCTGCCCTTCGTCACAGGGGTATTGTGTGGATAACTACATTGAAGACTGAACTGCACCACACAATAGAGCATCTGAGCACAAAATGTACAATGATTCACTGGTCGTAAAAAGAAATTGTGGTGCTGTTACTTAACACAGGATGTCCCTAATCTGAATTACAGCCAGATAATTTGTGAAGAATCAAGATGATGGAGAAAATTTGTAATAAAAGTGATCCCCTCCCTCTTTTTTAAATTTGAAAACTTGGAAATTCAGAAGATTTGAAATGTCTACATTAAGAACATTGCAGTCAGATCTGTTGGCTGCCCTCCCAAATGTGAAAAGGAAAGTAGCTGCAGACCTCAACTCTGATCATTTTTCAAATTAGCTTCCATTTGCAGGAGAATTATTAAATAATACTAGACTACAGTTAGGAAATTGCTGCTTAGAGCTGGGAATTACAAGTGCGTAAAAATAAGTTTTTAGAAAGAGAAAGGATCTTACATTTACATTCATTCCCACTAGAGATCTAAACAGAACTAACAATAGATATTGGATAGATTAAATTCGTTAGGAGTTGGGCTGGTCCAGGACAGATGCAACAAACAGTTTTCATTCTGATGTTCAATGTTACATGATCGGTGCCAGTTAAGCAGTGGTCACAGTAGTAATCAGCCTTGTTAAAGCAATTATAGGCTTCTTATAAGAGTGAGTATTCATCTGGACAGGAAAAGAAATGGTAGCACTGCAGATGAATGTTATATAGCACATAACTTGCTGGACAAACACTTGATTGTGGTCATCAATTTCAAGTAGAACAGAAACATCCACAGCACCCAGTGTATATTCTTTTTGTCCATTAATATGAGCCAATAGTCCTGGAGGGTCACAAACCTTACCACAAATAGCATTGGAAAAACTGCCATGGAATACAGCCGAAGTATTAGGATTAACTCCAAACAACACTTAAGATGCAGATTATAGACAGTAGGTACAGTTTAATTTCTGCCATAATCTCAAGGGTTTTGGCACTTATTCACACTGAACCAAATATAGCAGTGGGTGCAGATCCCACTAAAATCACCCAATCCATTATCTCAAGATGCATGTTTTAATAGTAGCATGACTGGGAGCTGTGGCAGTGTGCCAGGGATGATCCACCTTGAAAAGCTTGGAGGTTAATGTATTGTTTGTACAGTGCAATCTGCTAATTTCATCTCCAGGCTGACCCTCTGAAATAAGATGGAGCAGCTCATTCAGAACTCCCTGCTCTGCTCCTACTCAAAACTTTCTTTACAATATCCAGGCCCGCTGAAAAGTTATTAAATTACCTCAGGACCCTAGAACCAAACAATTCCCAGGACCACAGTCACTTCTATGCTCATGTATTTGTATAAAATTTGTCATAGTCCAGTGTTGGTTTTTTTTCAATATTTTTCACGGGCAAACCCGGAACCCCGATCTCTTCCAAATGAAAAAAGTTATGAAAAGCTTGAGGTATTTCAGTAATTGGAAAATACTGTCCCTAATGGTGAATGATTTGAATTTCCTGGAGCATTTTCCCCTGCTCTTTTATTTGTCTAAGAACTTGATTCTGGAAGTTAGTCGAGTGGTACATGAGTGTAGGAATCCAAGACATATTGAAACCATTTAGAAGCCTGTTCACTGTAAACATTTGGTTTAAAAGTATGCTTAAGAAAGGGTGTGGTTATGAGAACATGAAGAAGTTGAAAAAAACAGAATGGCTTTTTAGGGGTGGAAATGTGCATTGAGCAATGTTGAAGAATAATGGGGTAATGCTACCAACAGTATATTGCACTTACAGAATTACTTTGAAGGAGCTCAGCAGTGCTTTACAGACATTAACTCATTAAGCCTTGCAGTACCCTAGGGTGGTTTGTATTATGTTTGGAAAATAGTTACATTGGATGCATGTAAAAATATTCTCTGAGCAGTTTGCAGAACTCAACAGTGCAGATTGTGGGCCAGATCCTCTGGTGTGTAGAAGAGGGTCTGCAGAGCTCTGACACCAAGCCTGACAGCTGGTTATAGAATCTCCGGAAAAGGAGATTGTGTGGGTGCTACTACACTAGCACAGTCCCACCCATTGTGCAGGGGGCTGACCGGGGAAAAATGGCCTGGTTTCCCTACATCCCAGTGATCCTCTGCCATCACCAAGAACAGTGTATGCTCCCAGCGGCTGAGGGGGGCACGGCTGCGGCGTTGGGAGCCTAGCAGCGGTGAGCGGGGAGCTCCCGCAGATGCCGCCGGTACTGTCATCAATGGAGGGGGTGGGAGGAGGCAAGCACCGGCTACAGGTCGGCAACCACCCACAGGCCCAACAGTGTTGGCGGCACCTTTTTTGCAGGGGGTGCACCACCACATTCAGGGGGTGTATATGCACCTGCATGCACCCCCTACGCATCGCCCCTGGCTGTCACAACAGTTCCCTGGGGTCATGCATGGCCAGCGTAACATAACAGCCATCTGGCTACTCACCTTTATGTATGGGACTGGCCTGGCAGTAAGACAGTTCCAGAACTGTGACGGTACACACGTATATTCAAACTGTCTTTGTATTTCTTGTTCTGAGGCCTGCCAAGCTCAACCTGGCCACCACTCAGAATCTGGGTCAATATTTTATAAGTAAAATCTTGGCTACTTCTCACTCAGGTCCCTATTTATGTATATGACACAATATTTTGTGGGAGAGGGTTGCAGGGAAGGAGAGGAGTGGAACAAGTGGGACCCTAGGGAGAAAGTAGGAGGACTGGAGTAACAGGGACAGAATCAGCTAAAAGGTTTCAGTTTCAGCTTACGTCTAACATTTTCCACTTATTTAAATAACCATAATTATTGGTGGAGGGAGGTTGCTCCATGATGTATTTCAAGAGTTGTCCTGATTCAATTAGGCTTAACACTATCTGATATTCTCCTGTCTTTTGCCTTTACTGTCCCACAAAGGGCAACTGCATTCAGGAATAAAACTGGTCTTTGTTCACTGCTTTACCCGTGACACCAGGATTTCTTATGAGCAGTTCCTCTTCTGTTTTCTTTATTTATACACTTGTAACCTGGGTGTACCTGGTTGTGTACTTCCTTCTCCATATGAAGAGAAATGTTAGCGGGACAGGAGTGCTGTGGGGGAAAACTGCTAGCTGTACACAGCTTCCCTCCTTCCCCTGTAGAAAACCAAGCCAGGATACTTTATAACTTAACTACATACAAATTTATTAATATATACACGATGTAAAAAATTTGATATTGATAAACATATATACACAAATATACAGTTGTTACATAACACTATATCCTACTAATAGAGGTTAAAAGATTGCATCACTTTAAATGGTATTAAATAATACATAGATAAACAATTTGATCTAATACAGATAAACAACAGGTAAGTACTGACAAACGTAGGTAAATGGCAAGGAAGGGCCCCAACAAGGATTATATGCTCAAAACTCTATTACACTACAAAATTACACATATAAAGGTACCTAATATATATATAAACGTAATAAGTTAAATTATGGGTTATATCTATCTAATCTTATACCACCCTTCAAGATATGATCCCAGCCTGAGTTTCAACAGATATTATACAACCTTAACTCTATTAAGATCCACATTTACTTAAACATCAAATACAAATATATACTCTCCAACAAATACTTAGCCAAGCAGAATCAGATTAAAGGTTTCAGTATATTTCAAACAATCTTAAGTTTTATGAACTTATACTTATAAACATAAGATATAAATATACAACATATAAGGCGCAAAGCCTTAAGATATAACTTAGCTCTTTAAAGAACCCCAAGGCCCAGACTCTCCTGGGCCTTGGCTGCCTTCTGTGGCCGTGAGGGGAGGAAGAAGCTTCCCTGATGCCCTTTAGAATTTCCCCCATCCCAGCCAAAATGCTTTCCCCAAAGCAAAACCTCCAACCTCGGAGAGCCCTGTTCCTTTGGGTTTTCCCTTCAGTGGTCAGACCACTGACCCAGGTGAATTCTCCCTCCCCTGTGGGAGTCCTTTTCCCTGGTAACTTACAACCCCGGGGACTTGCTGGAGGATCCTTGTCTCTTCCGGCGATTTGCTGCCTCTTTTGCTGAGGCTTCAGCTGTTTCTGCCTCCCTCTGGACCCACTGGCCCTGGTGGCCCTGTGCACCGTGGGGTGTGTGCACCCAAGGGCTTTACTCCTTTTCCTTGCAGAGTTCCGGGGTCTCAGTTCCAACCAGGGCCCCCCTTGCAAGGCTTCCTCTTTAAATGCCTGGCCTTGTGCCGGGGGGTGCGTAGACCCGAGCCATCCCATGTGGGTCCCAGGGCCTCGGTCTGCTCCTCAACTGCTCCTTGCAGAGCTGCCTGCACCGCACCTTCCTGGCCTCATGCCAGTGCTGGCAACCCAAGCCCCCTCATAGGGCTCCAGGGTTTTGGCTTGTGCACTGCCCTGCACCGACTGGCTTGGACCCAAGCTGCCCCATGCAGCTCCCAGGATCCTGGTCCCACTTGAACCCACCATGGAGTGCCACCTGCACCAGCTCCCCCTGGCCTCATGCCAGGGATTAGAGACCCAAGCCACCTCATATGGCTCCCAGGGTCCATCCCGTGCACTGCCCATGCACTGACTGGCTGGAGGCCCAAGCCACCTCTTACAGCTCCCAGGGTCCCATCCTGTACACCGGGCTGTGCACCACTCCTCGCTTCTCAGTGGTGGGGCTGGGACACAGCCACTCCCCATCTGGCAATGGGAAGGAGTCTTCAGGCTCTTCTGGGGCCACTACATTCACCTCGCTGGGCAGCTCTTCCCAGCCCTTCTT